ATAGTAATAAGAATGAAAAAGAGGTTTTAGAGAAAGGATGGGGTATTTTCTGACTATTAGACATGCATGAAAATTCACGTGCTGGAACATCAGAACCATTTTGATAATTCGAACAGTGAACGTCCTAAGCGTTGCCCTACTCTAGTTGCTCACGAATTATCATGACTTGACTGCCGCTGTCAGTGAAGTTCATCTCCATGAGGATAGTGCTCTCAATGAATATGGTGCCGGTTACACACTCTGCTGTTGGGAAAACAGAAAACCGGAAGCGACCTTTCAGGAACTGGCTTCATGGTTAAAAACTCCACCGCCTATAAACTCGAAAATCTGTCAACAGGTCATTCTCATCGTCAATCATATCTCCCTATGCCTCTCACTACACAACAAGCAACAAGTTGTTCTCTTCAGCATATATGTTCCAACTCTGCATGTTGACCCTATTGAAAAGGTAGATTCTAAACCAATCTACGCCGTCTTATCCAAAAAGTTTCTCCAAGTGATTAGGTAATAATCTTTGGTGACTTCAACGCTAGAGAATTTCAAAGCCTCGAAAGGTGTATTTGGCAAGCATAGCGTTAGAAGCCGCAACGAAAATGGACGGCTTCTGCTAGAGTATTGTACAGAGCATTAACTCACCTCTCAAACACTCTTTCAGCAGAGAGACAGTTTGAAGACAACCTGGATGCATCCTCGATCCAAGCACTGGTATCTCATCCTAGTGCGTCAAAGAAATGTTCATGATCGTCACACTTGTATGATGCCTAATGCGGAGTATCAAACAGCCCATCGCATTGTGCGATATAAACTCAACTTCCGCTTCAAATCCAAACCGGAGAGAGGTAGAATTCCAAGAAAGCTCAAAGTTAACAATCTCTAAACACCTACGGTGAGAGATACCTTCCGGATGAATCTTCAAACCAGACTTCAAGATTACTCCACGGATCCCTCACCTAAAATGCTTTGGCAACATATTATAACCAGCAACCAGCAGTATTCCGTGGAATCCTTAGGGTTCTCATGCAAGAGGAATAAACTGGTGGAAACGATAAAGAGGTCTAGAATTTATTGACAAAGAAGAGATCTGCTCACCAAGCATATGTTGCTCAACCATCTTGTCACGTAAGAAAAGCCGCCTTTCGCATTGCATCCAGCAACCTGCAACAGAAACTTCGAGACATCCAGAAACAAAAATGGTGGGTAAACCTAGCAGGAAATATTCAACTATGCGCAGATTTGGGTGACCACAGAGGCTCTGAAAGCTGCGTATGGACCTAGACACCAGGGTCAAAGCTCCCTACTCAGCGCAGATGACCAAATGCTTCTCATTGACAAAATCTCTATATTGAATCGATGGTCTGAACATTTCCAGACTCTCTTCAGTACCAATTGTGCTGTCACGAACCAATAATTCAGCATATTACACAACAACCGATGAAAAGCGAACTGGATACAACTTCGACTGCGGCAGAAACGCCCAAGGTCATACAGTAGGT